TAATCCTAGCACTTTGGGAGGCCAAGGTGGGTGGATCACCTGAGGTCAGGAGTTTGAGACCAGCCTCACCAACATGGTGAAACCCCATCTCTACTAAAAAGTACAAAAATTAGCCAGGTATAGTGGCGCCTGCCCATAGTCCCAGCTACACTGGAGGCTGGGTGGAGGAGTGAGCTGAGATTGCTCTGCTGCACTCCAGCCTGGGCGACAGAGTGAGACTCTATCTCAAAAAACAACAACAAACTCTTTTTTCTCTATTTTTCACAGCTGCCTATGGTGATCAATAACCAGTAAATACTGAATAAATCTTACTGATAACCTGGGTGTGAGAGACTTGAATGAGAAGTGAAAGGTCAAGCATATGAAAACACTTCACATGTGTCCAGCTTGTAAAATTCTATTCCATGTCTGTTCTGCATATAGTCTCCACGTATCACTGGACAGGCCATGGCTCCACGGTCCCGGCGACGAAGGCACAGGAAACCTCCCTCATCAGTGGCTCCCATCATTATGACCCCAACCACAATTGTGACCCCTATGCCTCTGACCCCCTCAAAACCGGGCCCTAGCATTGACACACTTGGCTTCTTCTCCTTGGATGATAATGTTCCTGGCCTATCGCAGCTGATCCTTCAAAAGCTGAACATGAAAAGCTATGAAGAATACAAGTGAGTGACCAGCTCTATGGAAGAGGGATATATTGTCTCTGGTAGAAGTAAATTTCAGAAGGTGGAGAGGGAGTACAGTTTGGGGAATATGAAGTATTTGCAATAAGCTATTTTCTCATCCTGACTTTTGCCAGTTACTATATTACTATAAAAGAAGAAATATTCACTTAAGTGAAAAATGATGGCAGTGAGAGACGTAGGAGTAAGTGGAAATGTGTAGGAGACAAGATGAGGGGCATGAGAGATTTTGGAGATACTCCTTTGCCCACTGCCATTCCTTCTCCATGCTGTCTCTGCAGGTTGGTGGTAGATGGGGGTACCCCTGTATCAGGCTTTGGATTTCGATGTCCTCAAGAAATGTTCCAGAGGATGGAAGACACATTTCGATTCTGTGCTCACTGTAGAGTACTCCCTAGTGGCCTTTCAGACTCCAAGGTTCTCCGGCACTGTAAGAGGTGACTTGTGGGGGTGCTAATCGGGAGACATTCAGAAATGATTCTGTACTAGCCGGACATGATGACTCATGCCTGTAATCCCAGCACTTTGGGAGGCCAAGGCAGGTAGATCACATGAGGCCAGCCTGGCCAACATGGCAAAACCCTGTCTCTACTAAAAATACAAAAATTAGCCCGGTGTGCGGGCACACACCTGTAGTCTCAGCTACTCGAAAGGCTGAGGTGGGAGAATTGCTTGAACCCAGGAGGCAGAGGTTCCTGTACTACGACCTCATTCCAAGAGGAAAGATCTGAAAGTTTTCAAAATAACCTAAGGCTTAGGTCCTCATTTTTTGTCATCCAGGTTACAGAGATTAGAACAATGTTCTAACCCTGCTTATTTTTGGTGTTACTGGGAAGTGAGACAAGAAACCACAATACAGTCCTCTCTATCTCTCTCTCAAGTACTCAAGGAGTAAGACTACATTTGTTCTGGGGAGGTGGGGGTTGAACCATACCTGTTAAGAGAGGACAGCTGCAAACTCGTGGTGTTTTTTCTAATAGTGATATAAAAAGTTCCAGATAGAGAGTAAGGTATCACTCTGTCTGGCAGAATAATTATATTCCCAATCCCTCCTGCCTTGTCTGCCAAATGTAGTCCCCAAAATTGGTGCATCAGCTGTCATTCCTCTCCCTACCTTCCTTATTCACCATCCTAGGTGCAGGAATATCAGTTCCTTTCCTCAGATAACCCCAATCACATTTATAGTATAAGAATTATTTCTCTCTCATTGTCTCAGGTGCAGAAATGTCTATTACTGTGGTCCGGAGTGCCAGAGGTCAGACTGGCCTGCACACAGGAGGGTTTGTCAAGAGCTTCGTCTTGTGGCCGTGGACCGTCTCATGGAATGGCTTCTGGTCACAGGTGGAGTGGTGGTGTTGAGGAACTCTGCTGTAATGGTCATAGTTGATTGTATTTAAAGGAAGATACAAAATCATATTGTTACGAAAAAATGAGGAAGTGGGGCAAAGGTTGGGGCACCCCTGCTCACAGGTTGGCAGAGTGAACATGGAGGGAATATTGATCATTAGTGGGGCAAATTTTGAAGCCAGGAAAGCATTAGGTTACTTCTTATTTCTTCTTTCCTACAGGTGATTTTGTCCTACCCTCAGGACCTTGGCCATGGCCCCCTGAAGCTGTACAGGACTGGGACTCCTGGTTTTCTATGAAGGGGTTACACCTAGATGCTACACTGGATGCTGTGCTAGTCAGTCATGCCATGACCACTTTATGGGCCAGTGTAGGACGGCCAAGGCCAGACCCAGATGTCCTGCAGGGATCTTTGAAGCGACTGCTGACAGATGTCCTGTCACGGCCCTTGACTCTGGGCCTAGGACTTAGGGCCTTGGAGATAGATGTTAGGAGGATTGGGGGAAGCACAGTGCATGTGGTTGGTGCTTCCCATGTGGAGACATTTCTTACTCGCCCTGGGGACTATGATGAACTTGGCCACATGTTTCCTGGGCACCTTGGACTCCGTGTGGTCATGGTGGGTGTAGACGTGGCTAATGGCTTTTCACAGAGCACCTCAACTTCACCCCTGGAACCTGGCACAATTCAGCTTAGTGCCCACAGGGGCCTCTATCATGACTTCTGGGAGGAGCAAGTAGAGACTGGGCAGACAGACCATCCAGATTTGGTGGCAGCATTCCATCCAGGTAAGACTCATTAGTTCAGGGGAATAGAGGGTGGCTTCCCTGAGAATTTTCCATCCTGAATCTTGTATCTTCTGTCTTTGGAATCCCATTTGTTTGGTCTCATTAAACACAATATGATGACAACTTTTCTTGATGATTTGCAATATGTACTACACTTGGGTTCAGAATTTTTCATCGAAGAACTTGGAGTGGACGATGATGATGATGATGATAATGATGATAATGATTGGGGATAAGCAAGGTGAGGAGTGGGGTGCTCACAGTCAAAGAAATATCTTGCTCTTAGGGTCTGCTTTAGTCTTTCCCTATTCCCATTTTCATTTTTGTTCCACAGGTTTCCATTCCTCCCCAGACTTGATGGAGGCTTGGCTGCCCACCCTGCTGCTACTTCGTGACTATAAGATTCCTACATTGATTACTGTTTACAGGTTTTAACCTCTTCCTATTTGTGATACTTCCCTGACTTTACATCTCTCTTTATATAGATGAGCTCATTTTGCCCCCTCTTGCTCATCTACCTTCTGGTGAGGATGTTCTTTTCCACATATGACTTTTTCATCCCCTTGGAACAGTCCTTTGCTAGTTAATTGAGTATCTAATGAGACATTTGGGAGGGAAGGATAGCCCTTGCCTAGTCCAGCCTTAGGCAATTTGGGGGATTGGTGATTACAGAAATGTCAGGCTCTTGGGCAATTTTTTCTTTATCTCTGTCACAATCAGTAATTTTTCTTCTCTCTTCTACAGTCATCAGGAGTTGGTATCCTCTTTGCAGATTCTGGTGGAACTGGATACACACATCACTGCCTATGGGGCTAATCCTTTCATGTCCCTCAAACCTGAACAGGTCTATTCCAACCCCAACAAGCAGCCAGTATACTGCAGTGCATATTATATCATGTTTCTTGGAAGCTCCTGTCAACTGGATAATAGTCAATTAGAAGAGAAAGTGGATGGTGGGATTTAAATAGATCATGACTGGACATCTGGAAAATGGGGAGGTTGTGATGAAATTACCCCGCTAATGCCAAATTCTTGCAAACTTAGAAAAACACTATATTCTAAACCTTATTCACTGTTTGGGTAAAAATTCTAAGCTTAATGAGAGTTTTTGTATAACGTAATTAGTTTCTTTCTTTTTTTGAGATGGAGTCTTGCTCTGTTGCCTAGGCTAGAGTGCAGTGGTGCGATCTCGGCTCACTGCAGCCTCCACCTCCTGGGTTCAAGCGGTTCTCCTGCCTCAGCCTCCCTAGTAGCTGGGATTACAGGTGCGCACCACCACACCTGGCTAATTTTTGTATTTTCAGTACAGACAGAGTTTCGCCGTGTTGACCAGGCTCGTATCAAACCCTTGACCTCAGGTGATCTGCCTGCCTTGACCTCCCAAAGTTCTGGAATTACAGGCATGAGCCACCATGCCCAGCCAATGTAACTGGTTTCTAAGAGTTTAGCCACAGTACCTTTTAGAGATAGGAAATTAGATTGAGTGGGTGGGAAGAGGCCCTGATGTTAGTCTTTCCAGAGCTTATAGTTCCTAACACTTTCCTCTGTAAGGAAGTTTACCTTTTGACTGGAACCAGATGGCACTGAGGAGAAGAATGAGAACCACCTTATTCTTCTGAAAAAGACTTTCTTCTCATCCAGTAATTTGGGCTAAAAAATGGAAAGATGTTGATGACTTGAAGTGGTACAAGAATGGACAAGTCAGGAAAGTCACTGGGAACATGGATGAGGTTGTAAGCATTGGTATACTGTCCTGTTTCCTGGCTTTTTTGAGAGAAATGTCTAATTTTCCTGTTTTCTCTTGGGGACTTTTGACCCTAGAGTAGCCCTGGTGTTGTATTTGAGATATCCCAAGCTATATCAGACTTTACCTGAATATACTGGAGTTACTTTTTATCCCCCATTCTATAGCCCAATAAACTCAGTTTGGGGCTTCTCAAGTCACTTGTTTTATTTCCTGTTCACTGGCAAGTATTACTCATCTGCACATAACACCTCAAGACTGGAAGTTTCTCTCTTGCTAACAGAGTAATTAGCATCAGTTCTCTGGGTCTGCCACTCTGTCACACATTTGCCTCATGTCATCCTTTT